CGGAACTAGGATTCAGCAGCAGTCAGGTTCATATCATGAGAACACTTTCATTTAATTGGCATGTGTGAGATCCAGATTGCTTCTGATACACAGGATGGTCCTCTGGTTTCTGCCTGATCAGTTAGATAACCAAGCCATCCTCTCTCTCGCTGTATATATAGTTTTATCCACACTGTCAAAACACATTGTCTGTCAATGAAAAGATTTCTGCGTGAGCATGATAGATATCATTAATATAAAGGCTAGCTGTTATAAACTGTCACATTTCATTTTGCATTATTTGAAAACATAAATCCTAATTTAATAAGGGGTACCCGGGAGCAACAGAGTAACCCATTGCAACAAATCACAAAGCTTGCTTTGGGAGCTTAGCTTTTGCAGACTAGTGACAGCAAATTTCGGATTGGTTCCTATAGGTTTCTGCTTATCGTTACCCTTTGCAGTGTTAGTACATAATCCCCAAAGCGTGTGTGTAACAGGCAGATACAAAATACATAAACATGTTTATTAATTCATAACATGTGTTCCAGAAGATCAGATAACACCTAATATATCAGTAGTCACATCTCACTGAGTAGCAAAAATCCAGACGGAGGAGATAGCCAGCACAAGTACCAATCAATAGATTTGCTTCATGACGGCTGACACCATCTGAAACATCAAAACCATATATAACCTCGGCAAGATGAAAGACAAACACGCATTTAGTTTGCAGTTTTCAGCTACCCTAAACAGTAATATTAGCTGAACAGAGCGAAACAAAAAACAAGTTTACGGTTTCCTTAAAGGAGACCTCTAGGTTTTAATGGCTTCCACATTCTAAAAGCAATGCTACAAGCCTCGCAACCATCTTTATTTTTCTCTCCAATTCTTTTGGCTCCCCTGGCATACCACCGGTTAAAAGTAAGAGGTAAAAAAAAAAATCCCCAAAAGGTGGCTCACTGGCACCCTCAGCCTGCCTGTTGAAGGAACTACATCTTCTCCTCTCCATTCCTATATTCAACTGCCAGCAAATGCCATTGAATAGAAATATGCAAAAATGCACCAATACATTAAAGAAAATGAAAAAGCTATTTTTTTTCCCCCTTCCCAACATCTGCTCGAAAATAAAAAAGGAAATCAGCCGCGTTCCCTCCAAAGGAAAGTGGAGTTTCAAAGAGCTCAAGGCCAAGGCACAGAGAGGCACACGTTAAATGTGGGTTTGCTGTAATACACCCAGGCAAATAAAGCATAATGCATTTGAATTATTAACCTGTTCTGCTCCATAAGCATGAAACATTCATGAACCCATTTTGTAAGGCAAGTGCATTATCCCACTTTATTTGAAAGACATTTCTAAGTC